CCCTAAACCCTAAACCCTACGTCTCAGAGGGCCACCGTTTTCCAGGCTCGGGCCCAGGGACTCCGGCTCTGCTCGGGAGACGAAGATCTCGCAGCTGGAAAAAGCGCCGATAGCCGCTGCAGGGTTTGGGGTTTTTGGGGGTTTAGNNTAGGGTCTTGGGGGGTTTAGGGTTTAGGGTTTAGGGGTTTAGGGTGTAGGGGTTTAGGGTTTAGGTGTAGGGGTTTAGGGTTTAGGGGTTTAGGGTGTGGGGTTTAGGGTTAAAGGGTTCAGGGTTAGGGTTTATGAAGTTGGAAACGGAATGGGAGTACGCGACATGGACAACGAGAGTCAGACGCCATGCATTTTCCGTGACACTCGTTCGGAAGCCTTTGCCTTTGCTGCAGTTGTTGCAAACACCTGCCACTGAAAACGGTAGCATGGGTCTTGACAATGTCAGACTACGCCATGTCATATGCACTTCGCAGATCGGCATCATGTCTGTCGAACATCACTCAATCTCCCAGCACATTGCTTCTGTCGCCGGCGCAGCTCTCGACAAGCTTGGTCCAGTGTGAGCCCAGGTGCACAGTGAAACCTCAGGCCCACACGGTATCCGGTGCTCCGCAAGGCCCTCTCACAAGGCTGTCGCAGTTCCTGTAAGCCTTTCAAAGCAGCCCGGGAGTTGCATCATGAAGAGCTCGGGCGGCTTACATCTCACCCCATCCACCGTCCGCTTCTAGAGCAGCCTGGGCGCGGCGAGGCCTGCGCAGCCGAGAGCTCTCTGGATTCTCTATGTGGGTAGTTGTCAAAATTAGGGTCCCTTTTTGGGGTAACCTAAATAATAGGTGCCGTATAATAATAAGGACCCAAAAAGGGACCATAATTTTGACAACTACCCATGTAGCTCTGATTATAGAATGAAACTTGCCGTTATTGTTGACAGTATTCGAGCGACTACTCTGACTACTACGGGCCAGGTTGGGTGCATGGAGCCGACAAACCTCAGCAAGGACCTTGCATTTTCAGTGGTTTGAAAGGGGGGGCTTCCTGAGTGCTTTGCGTTTTTTTTTGATGGCTCGGACCCGTTCCTTCTCTCCCTCTCTGCCCGGCTCGCTCCACCTTCTCCCTCACCGTTCCCCCTCTTCTGGCCCAACCTGCGTTTCCTTGTCCCTTTTTGCCAAGTTGGGCCACTTCCTGCCTCAGCCGTTTTCCGCTCCTCTCTTTACGGAACCTGCCGTAGCCCAGACAGGTGCCATGCAGAATCCGACCTTGAACTGCAAGCCAGAGGCACCAGCGTGCGAGCCAGAGGCACCAGCGGTTCCAGTGGTGATCGGACCCTTAGCAGTGCTTGAAAATCTTTCTTGTTTTAGGGTTTTTTCACTACAATCCTATAGGCCCTAAGAAGCAGCAACATCTTTCCCAAGTTAGCAGGATTGCAAGTTCAGCATAGGATCCAAGAGCTTGGACCTCGGATGGGCACGGATGTGGGCCCCAAAGCTTGAGGGCAAGACGGTCTTCGATGAGATGCGGGATCACCAGATTCCTGGAGATGACATTGCATCCTTGCAGTTTCTGAAAGGCTCCAACTACAAGCCTCTCGTTTTCGCGCCCGTCTTCTTCTTAGTCTGGAGTTGTGATTCCCCAGTCTTGGTCTACGAGACCTTGAAGCACAACGACACTGAGCAGTGCATGTTCGGGGGGCATGCGCTGGATGTGTTTACAAAGGAATCGTATTGCCCCATTCTGGCAGGGTTCAGCCCCTGGTGGTACACGCTGGCCTGGTACCTGCTCTTCCTCGTGATAGCACTCTTTTGCTTGCTTCGGGGTTGGCGTCTCCAAAAGATCCAAAAGTATCGGGCTGATGTGAGTCCTGTTTGTTGCTTCCTGGACTGCAAGCGTGGTGGCTACGACGACCGGCACTTGATGGCCTGGTTCATCTTGATCTCCTTGTGCTTCCTCCATTGCACCTTGATTCGCGTCGCAGCCACCCCAGAGGATGAAGATTGGGGGAATGCCTGCTTGCGGTATGGAGCCTGGGAAAGTCATCGGGACTTCTGCCAGCCCGGCCCAGTCCTAGAGCAAAGTTGGACAATTGTCCTGATCATGGTCTTTGTTTGCTTGATGACAGCCCTTTGGGACCAAGGAACGGTAGTTCGGGGCCCCAAACCGCAGGAGACTGCTGGAAAAGATCAGAAGGAGAAGTACACGTTGAAAGTCGCTGTGGATCCTGTGACAGCCGCGGCGGTGAAGCTAAAGGCACTCGTTCGCTTCCAAATGCACCACACAGAGGAAGAGCGGCGAAAAGAAAATTCCAGGCTTGCAGAAATCATGCTCAGACCGCTTCGTGCCATGAAGTTCTTGGGTGGGGGCACGGAGGAAACAGAGGTGATGACTACCATCAATCTCTACCCTGGCCCAGTCCCTGACACGGATGACTCAGAGAACACGTCCGACCCGGAGAAGGTGAAGAGTTTCTTAGGGTTTAGGGTTTAGGGTTTAGGGTGCGAGGTACTCGTAACATTAATAGATTTGGTTGGGAGCTAAACTCGAGAATTCTCGAGGTGTTCTTAGGCGCAAGGAAGGGACCTGATCTCAGGGGCTGAGTAGGTAACCTTTAACCTTTTGGGGCTTAAATTATCCTACTATAATTCAAAAGGTTAACCTTTTTTGGGCTAGGGTACTCAGCCCCTAAGTGATTGTGCAGAAGTAGCCAGGCCACGCTCTACGCCTGGGACGCTTGCACGACAGACTCCCAGAATGAGTTCTGGAGCAAGAGCTTTCACAGAAGCCTTGAGACGATCCTCGAGGGCTTGCAAGAGGCAGGATAGGGTTTAGGGTTTAGGGTTTAGGGTTTAGGATAAGCTCTGCAATCACACTAGTGACACTAGTGGCTGCACTACCACCGGTCGTATTGTAACAAACCTTGTGTAGTAGTAAACCAGTGAATGAGAGCTATATAGGGGTCTGAATAATACGTCACATTATCCCCTGATCGTCCTTAGAAAATGATGGTACAATACAACCCAAAAACCCTGTTCTATTTTTTTAGAGGCCCCTCTATAAAGAGGTGGGGCCAGATGGTGAGCAGATGGCCGAGGAGGAGTTAGTCCGCCAGATGCTCGGGCAGCCAGATGGTGAAGAGAGGGCCAAAGCGATGGACGACTTCAAGAAGCGCCAGCAGAAGTTGTGCAGAGAGAGACAGCTTCAGGAGGTCTGGGGGTTTCCGAAAATAGGGGACCCTAATATGTTACCCTAAATAGTAGGATCCTTANNNCTTATTTTCGGAAACTCCCAGGTGAATGTGGGCTTGCTCTATGACTTCTGCAAAGACACGATGAGGATTCTAGATGATCAGCAGCCTGGCTGGAGGTCCCCTATACCGTCACAGCCTGACTCTGGCACTTGCATTTCAAGGGTTGGCTGTGTTCAAGCTCACCATGTGCTTGGTTTCTTGTTATTCTTGATTGCCGGTATTCTTGCAAGCACTTTGGCTCCTCAAGGCGATGCCTATGCTTTCTTTGACAATGGAGTCCACCATGCCGACTATCTTCAGGTTCGCTGTCAGGAGACGGAGGCTAGTTTTGACTTGAACCCCTGGTGCTACCTGGGAGAGAAGCAGTGGATGCAACGTCGCACCTTCAACTTTGGCTTGTCTGTGTTTCAGACAAACAGGGCTCCAGCCTTCCTGGGGCTTTGCTTCGGCCTGAAGTGTGTGATCTTTGGACTCATTGGCAGCTTCTTCGCAATCACGGTGAAGAAGACCGTGATGGGCGTAGAGCAGGCATCTCATCCCATGAAAATCATGAACATGCTCTTGCTCTTCTGGACACAGCAGGGTTACGTGTCAACGGGGCACTTACACGTGTGGAAGCTGGCCAGAGACTCGCTTCTCTTCAACGACGTGAAGTTTATCCTTCATCGCTTTGAAAATGTGGTCATAGCTTTCCTGGGGATTACCATGTGGTTGGTTACAGATTCTACTTTCCAAATCGTGATCAGGAACAACCCTCCCAATCCGCTCGGAGGATTCTATGCCATAATCCTGACAGGTGGCACAGTTGCCTGCGTGGCTCAAGCGCTATCTTGTCACATGGCACAGGAGGAGCACATCGTGTCTCTGACCCGCTTGAAGGAGCCCGCAACAGGGCTTCAAGATGTTTTCATAAGTATTCTCTAATGTAGCCTTCTGATTAGTAAACCCCCCGCACCCCTCCCCCCCCCCCCCCCCAAACCCAGATTCGCAATAGAAGGGCCCCAAACTGGTGCCCTCAAATCAAGAATTGGGACAGTTGTTTGAGGGGGGGCAAGTTTAGGAACAGCTGTACAGTTGTTTGATGGGGGAAATACTACTGGGGGGGGAAAATGTTTAGCATTAGTCTGGCGAAGGTTTCGGGGTTTCGTCAGGCACCACGTTTGAAAGCTTGGTTGCCTACGCTTTTTCCAAAAGCGGCTCGTAAAGATTGGTTACTGGGACCAGAAAGAATCGGAATTGAGTGCTCTGGGCTGCCGCCTAGCGGCCTAGCTCAAAAAACTGGGGCCGGGGGCGTCTGCACAACTGCGGGGTAGTTTATAAATGTGTTCCGCACAAGTTTAGCTCAGTTGCGGGGTAGTTCTTACGATTGTGTTCCAGGCAAGTTTAGCTCAATTGTGGGTAGTTTGTTAATCCGAGGGCTACATACCTTCTCGAATCCGAGCCGTTGCGTTGCAAATGATGGCTTGAACAAACCCTAAACCCTAAACCCCAAACCCTAAACCGCTTGAAGGAGTCCATGATGCTCCGTCTCGGGCGTCATGTCGAGCACCAACGAGATTTACTGGACATGATCATTGCACGCTTGAAGTCCGGTGGAGACTACCAGACGAAGCTCTTGTACGTTCCCTTGAACCCAGCTTTTCAGAAGGTCTTGCTGGGCTACCCGGTTGTATCTTTCGGTTCGATTATTGGGCGCATTGTGTGGGATAACTTGTCATAGCCAAGCTTCCAACACTGCGTCTCACGCGTCTCATGCCCACCACTGTTTTAGGCAGGTGCGCGGCTAACACGGCTGCGCTCCGCTACCCTTGCTGAGCCTGAGGAAAGACTGAAAGGAGCAGTGTGAGGCGTCGCATATGTATGTTATGTTATGTTATGTT